GAACACTAGCGAAGTATCTCCGAAGTGTCATGGCGCCATGACACTTGGTAATGTTGCTTGGCAACGGAAGTGTAGCCTGCGAACGCAGACGTAAAATACATGTACATCTCCGTTCTCAGGCTACCAGAACTGCGGAAACAGATAAACTTTCAGAGATGGAACTCCGATCTTCGCCTACATGGACGAGTCAAAACGCACGTTTCCTGAAATGCCGTGATTCGGACTACAGTGTATCTGAAATAAAACTGACTCACCATAACTATGTTTGTCGTGGTTTCCTCTTCACTCTCGTCATCGTCATCGTCGTCATCAACTTCATCTTCGTCTTCACTAGTTTGTTGAGAAGTATATTAAAACATTGATAAAGATTCCACAGATCTACTGAAGTGAGCATCCAATGTTTCAGTCACCATTCGCAATATACAGGCGTTCCGAGCTCTGATTAAAAAGCTCAAAAAGAATTTCTCAAGGAAATTGCATTCTGTGTAAAAGTTTTTTTGCCAACTTTCAACTAAGTCAGAGCAAAATGCTTTAACTTCAAGCGGTTCATATCGTTATTTATATACCTCTCCTGGCCCCTACTATTCTAAAAAATTACACTATTCTTGTTGGTTTTCTGGGGTCTAGATACATGTTATTGAGCTTCACCAGGGAAAGCGAAAAAAAAACCTAACATACAAAATGAAAAGAAAGTTAACAACGAAGCAAAAAGATATGAAGAAATAAGGATGGTCAACTTGACATTTTGTGGTTCAATTTTGCAAGAAACCCCATCTTTGCCATAGCTCCTTGAAATTTTTCTGTTGAAAGCAAGGTCACATTCTCTCGACATACCTCTCTGGCATGTGCGTGCCATCGTCATCAGCTTTATCTGTCTGCAAGTTACTGTTGGTTGCACCAACATCGCCTTCTTGCATCTTTCTGAAATGTTACAACAGAGAAAACAAAGAAATGCAATACATTGTACGGTAGCTATGTAATTGTTTGCAGTGATATATCGACAAATACTATTCCACCAGTGACTTCATTTTCAGTTGAAACATGAGAGTGTGGATACAAAGGAAAAAGGGAGTCACTTAAAAAAAGTAAAAAAGTAACTAGCTCTGTTTTCATTGCATACATGTAGAGTACACAGCACAGGTTTTGTTAGGCAAAAAGACACCTTATTCGTCAAGTGATTTCGCTAGTCCCTAGGGAAAAAAAAATACTTATTTAAATAGGAAAAAACTAAAAGTCCCGGACCGAACTTATGAACGACTTATAAATTAAGGGCATGCATCTGCTCTGAATGTATATGTGAATGCTTATGCGGCTACGATACTAAAATCTTGAAGGCATAATTGAAATATTTTCTTTCGGTTGGAAGCAAACGAAGAGACAAAAAAGGCAAGATATATGCATGATTAAATCTGGTGCTGAAATCATTACCTGAAATGTCTTCCTCAACTTCATCGGGTTCTAGTTGTTCAGAAATTCTGTCAAGTTTGCTCTGTCAAACAGAAATATACATTAAAATAAGTTAAGTACGCGTGGAAAGTTCAAGAAGGGTTTACCATTATGTATGACGAACATCAGTCCAACAGATACACACTCGATGGATACTTCTTAGCAGCACATGTACACGTTTGTGCAGTAAACACTGAATCAGCTCTTTGTCTGATTTTACAATGCACTGCTGTGTGCTTATTAGTACAGACAAAGTTAATGCATGCAGATTGAAAAGAGTATTTCATTTAAGACAAATTATTCAAGCCTCACTAAATTTTTCGTTTGATTGTACCGAGAAAGATTTCGCACACATGTATAATGTAAGGTAGATTGAATATCTATTGGGTTTTTAGTTTCGTTTCCTTTTTGTTCGACGAAAAAAGTAGAAAATTGTCCCTTCCAAGAATTGCAGTGTTATCTACATAAGCTTCGCGTAATCCTCGATTAATTTATTTGACAATGTAACACCCGCCTCTAAGGATCACAGCGATTAACATAAACAAAACAAAACTTTCGCTAAATCAAAACAGGGATTATAACCCATCAGGATAACTTTAAAAAACTACAAGTAAACCGTAAACTTATTGCAGAGCACATGGTCAATTCATATAACCAACACGATGAATTAAACAATACACAGCCTGCAAGATATAAAAATACATGGCTGGGTGATTTAAGATTATTCCTTCGAAAGCACATGGCTTATGTTTTAAGGCACAGCTAATCTCGAAATGACTTGCATTCAACTTCTATTGCTGCAGTCAAAACATTGTGGTTTGTACAATGGACACTAGCCGCGTGTTTCAGGCTTAAAAAATCTAAAGTTGAAATGAAATTGACTGGCTTAAAAATTCAAATCTAAAACGAAACTGTGATTATAAATACTGGAGTTTCTGTGAGGATCAAGTGTAAAAATAGAACGCTTAAGAAAGCAGTCATCATACAAAAGAGAAGCTAATAGTTTTGTCTGGCTTTCGCATGTAGACCTTAAAAAACTCACTAAGGGAACTCAAACCACTGGTATAGTTACAGTAAACTATACGATTTAAAATTACGGATTCTCCAGACCTCGTAAGCATGAAACAACGATTTTTGCATTCTTCTTCTTTGTGGATGGATAAAGAAAGATTAAATTCCAGCTGCGATGTCCAGTATAGTAAGGCGTTGTTGATAGAGTAGATCATTTAAAAACGTTGTTTTATTTGACACTGTATGTCCATCAAACACTTTGATGTCAAAAAATCACTGAAGCTGAACCTATTTGTTCCTGTTTGTGACAACAACCTGAAGTAACTTGGGAAACTAGCATGCAAATCTTGAACTCTTAGTGACATAAATATATGACTTCCACTCATAAACAGAGTTTATACAACTCCAGACATGTAAATTAGGCGAGATTTTGCAGCTGCCCAAGACAAAGGTTCTATAAGTTGCTTAAGACGGTCCATTATCGTTGCTACTTCAATTGTGGAAATTTTATACTTGAAAAGATATTTTTCTACACAGGTGACTAGCAAATACATAGAACATGACGGAATTTTGAGAGCACAAGATAAATTTAGAGAACACGGGACTCTGCAAGAGAGTGTGTTTTATGGTTTAGACATCATTACTTGTATATCAATTATCAAATTTAACACTGCCGAGCGAAACCTCTACATGTATGTTCTTCTACATGTATACTCTAATGAAACAACACTTTTAAGCCAATCAGAGGGCGTTCAGATTCAACTTGTATTATAATGTAAAGTGACATTATGTGCTACATATTATCAACTCTCACTATAACATCATCTACTCGAAGAAGAAGAAACAACTGCATGGTGCCAGTAAGTATGTAAAGTAAAGACTTGAACAATACTGGTATGCAGTTCTGTGCAAAAATAATGCAAATGTTAATGAGGTCCAAGAGTTTTTCCCACAAAACTTCAAAAGATTCTACATGTACATCACCTCAGAACAAAAATTCATCAAAACTGACAATTCTTTAGGGACCAGTTGAAAAGTATTGGGAAGTGTGGGCCAGAGCAAAGAGGGGGTGGGTCGTTAGTTTTTGAGCCCACGATAAGTAGTGGGTCATTCAATTTTTAGCTACTCATGGGGCGGGGGGTGGGTGGGGTGGGG